GTAATGCCGGCAGCAACCCACCCCTGCTCTGCCAGTAAAAAGGGAGTTCAGGAGGGCTGTGCCTGACCCTCCCAGGTTCTTTTTTTGGCCACAATGGCCTCCTGCAGCCCTTTGAGCTCATGCAGGCCCTCCCTGGCTCCATTTTCTCTGGCAGAGGGCTGCAGTAGGCCGTTGTGGCCAAAAACGAGTGACGTCGAACTGGCCACACACACCAGCACTCCTGAGGTCAAACAACCCTGATGCAGCCCTCAATGAAATCGAGTTTGACACTCTGGTCTAGGCAGTCACCAGTATAACAACCACAGCCCATGTCTTCTATGAAAGCCTGTTAATACAACCATAGCTATATACACTATTGTCCTGCTTTTTTGTTTTGCTAGAATCACAGTGTAATTTTCACCTGTTCATTGAATGTTCATATAAGATTAGTGCAGAATGTCCAATTTTGACTTCATTGATAGATATCTGAAGAATTTTATGTCCATTTTTGCTCAAAGAGAATTTTCTTTATACTGTGCTATTTTACCATAATTATATTCTGAATCTGAATTATTCTGTGCATGTTACTTCGGAGGGAGAGGGGGGGGCATGCAAATTCATTTAGTTCCCTATGGCTCCATTATTAAGGTCTTTTAAATTTGCATCATCTTAGGTTAAAAGCGATTTCTGCCAAAACCTCTATTCAACACATTATTTAATTTTCCTTGAATAAATCAAAGAAAGGTTTTGTGTGCACATTTCTTATTTTCTCACAGACTCTGGGGAGAAAAACTTAATAAAAACAAATCAAAATTTTAAAAATCCTTCTAGTAGAAAAAGATGTATCATATTATACGTAAAAAGCTCTTTTGAAATATTACATTTTAGAGTTTAAATTTTAAGAGTTTCTTCTTTCTGTGACGAGTTGCTGCCTCTGAAAAGCTCCCTGGCCAGATCAAGGCTACTAATTTCTCTAACAAGAGAGTACAGTTACCGCAATATGAAACAGTGTTCACATTGTGAGTATCATTGTGTTGTTTCATTTTCTTGTTCCTAATGCAAATAAGTGGATGGTTTCCTGCCTCTTCCTTTGGCTTATGTGAACTTAGCCACAGGGGTGAAATCAACTTATCTTCACTGTTCTGACCACCCTCCTCTGTCCAGGAATGAAAGCCAAGACAAACGTAAATGAGAATGTTTTTAATAAGTCCAGACTCTCGGTGGCTGAAAGCCAAATCAACAAAGAGATAAGATTTTGGCAGCAAGTCCTACAACCTTGGCAGCAATGCAAACAAACTCTGGCAGCAATCCAGCCTGCCAAGTTTGTTTCCCATTAGTCCCTAACACTGACTTCTGCAAGAAGGGCGTGGCACAAGCGGTCTCTTTTATAATCGGGAGAGGAGCTTAATGAGCATCAGCTGAGAGTAATTACCTCCTGTAATTACATAGTTGTTCTTGACACCGAGTAGCCCTTCG